TCCCATCTGGGGAGATTTTGCGGCTGCTTTATTTTTCTTTTGTGCACAAACACCCGGTGAATTTGAACACAGCTTCTCAGTGCTGGCTGTAGGCAAGGAGAGCGTGTGTTCAGAAATGCAACAGCAGTTGGACACAGTAGGTTTATAAGTTCATGTCTGTGATATCTGCTTTTTAAAAGAGCTTGTGTACTCTTTGTTTTTCCTTAGTTCCATTGACTTTAGAAATTCAATTTTCTAGAATTTTTTTCAAGTCAAGTGTAGAGGCAGGGTTAATAAGAAAGTCAGAAATGGTCCTGTACCCAAGAAAGTCTGAAAACATCTAAAGATCTACTTTATTTTTACTTGAAAGACAGATTTTACGGAGAGATCTTCCATCTGCTAGTTCACTCCCCAAATGGCTGCAATGGTTAGAGCTGAGCTGGTCTGAAGCCAGGAGCCAAGAGTTTCCTCCAGGTCTCCTATGCACATGCAGAGTCCCAAGATCATAATGCATCCTCTCCTGGTTTCCCAGGCCATAAACTGGGAGCTGGATTGGAAGTGGAGCAGCCGGGACTAGAACCAATGACCCTATGGCACATAGGCACCACAAGCTGAGGCTCATTATGTTATGCCACTGCCGCTGTGCTGGTCCTGAAAATACTGAGTTCAGAGCAAAAGCCTCCCTCCCTACTCATAAGCCTTGTGCTGCTGGACCGGACTGCCTTTGACAGAGCAAAGATTTACAAACAAGTCCCATGACTAATTGTGCAGAGTGGCGGGGAAGTGGGGGTCTTTGTCTTCCTTGGTGACAGTGATCTGCGTGCAAGCTTGTGAAGGTGCAGCTTGGTGCCTGTTTTCTGTATGGCTTCCTGCTCATTGAGTGAGTGTGAGTGTGTGTGTGTGCATGCGTGTGCATGCTCATGCGTACACACAGACCAGAGAAGCCATTTCAGCATCTCTGGTGCTGACTGTGCTCAGGCCAGGAACCCACGGAGCCAAGCATCCATCTCAGGCTGATAGCAGAAGTTCCTCTGACTCTCCATGTCCTGACTAAGCAGGGAAGCCCATCTGCTCAGCACTTCGGATGCTGCATCAGAGGAGGCATAGGCTTGTCAGGGTCACAGTCAACAAACTGCGCAGACTTAAGTCGCTAACAGAGCAAGGAAATACAGAAAGGAGACGAAAAGCTTAGAGCCTGCGTCCCCATGCTGAACTCATGTTGGTATCGGCTGCAGAGCCATGGTTGTGTAGAATGAGACAGGCTTCTTTCCCCCTCTGGACAAGTCTCTGAACTGGGGATTCTTTGGCTTGCTTGAGATCGCTGAATGAGCTAATATGGAACACATTGTCTGCTGAGCCAGCAGAGTTTGCAGGCAAAAATTTTTTATCATTTCATAAGCTGATTCTGCTTGTCTGGAGTAAAGAACAAAATATTTGAAGCCTCTGCAGGGCATTTGATGAATTTCACTGTCACTTAAAAGGACTAATAGATTATTGATTTGCGCAGGATGATAGTGAACCAATCAATGGTCCACTTCTGTTTCTACCTTAAATACCAAAAAGACCCTGTGGGAGGGGCGCCATGCTGAACTGTCTCCCGCCCTTGTCTCCCACTGTCTCTGTTGGGTGTGGGAATAGCAAGGGAAGAGGAGAGGGGTCAGCCTTGTGGCACAGCGGCTGCCTGTGATGCTGGCATCCCATTTGAACAATGACTTTTGTCCCAGTTGTTCCACTTCTGTTCCAGCTTCCTGTTATGTGCCTGGGAAAGTAATGCATGATGGTTCAAGTCTTTAGGCTCCCTGTACCCACATGGGATACCTGACTGGAATTCTAGGCTCATGCCTTGGCCTCCCATAGCCCCAGCCATTTGGTCTCTCTGTCTCTTTCCCAGAAAAGAAAAAAAAAAAACTCTAATGAATTTGCTACCATATATTTTTGCTCTTGCCCAAATGAAAGAGGCTGTAGGGGTCTTTTGTACTGATGCCAGGCTCAGGTTGTAACTGTGGATCTTGGCTTCATGTGGTTGCCTGAAGCCAGAAAACCCTCCTTGACTCCTGCCTGTGTTACAAAGGACTCTTATCCACAGAAAAAGATGTTTCCCGACCTTTGTCAAAGAGTTGGAGAGTTTTGACATCCAGTAGGCTTCTGTTGTTTCACATGTGCTTTGCTCCAAGTGTCTTAGGTCTTCAGGAGGTACCGTGGTGCTTCTACTGTGTGGAGGGTGACAAGCTGAGCTCCCTTCAGTGCCAGTGTTTGAAGCGACATATTTGTAGAAATGACCACCCACTTTCGAAATGCAGCCAAAGTCAGACTCAGGAGAATTCTATTTACGACTTTCCTAGACAAGTCTGGTTAGCTATTCTACTCAATAGCTTAAAACTCCACTCTCCCAACAGGCTTTCCTGAAAGGGGCCCTGCAGGTGACAGCTCTGCTCTCGATGGTGGTTGATGGTGGTTGGTGAGATACACGCATGTGAAAGTAGAAACACACATTGCACCAGTAGATTTAGGAGGCCTGAAGGGCAGGGCTCAGTTATGCTGATGTGAGGTCTGCAAATTGACAAGCCTTGCTCAGAGTCCGTTTATCATCATGGGTTAAAAGCTAAAATAAATCTTGCAAACAACATCCCTTTTGAACTAATAATTCCACTTCTGAGAAGTTTCCCCAAGGAGACCGAAACCTAGGCAGGTTAGCTACAAAGATGCTCATCACGGTGGAATGCTTTGCAAGAAAAGTGTTTATTGACAAGGAAATAAATTCATGACATCACAAGCTACAGAGCTTCTCAAGCAACTCAATTTAGTTCCACCTTAGAAAACAAACAATGGAAAAACATTCCTGTGCATAGAAAGGAGCCATGCCAAGACCTTTGCAGTGAAATTCTCTGAGTGATAGAACTGTGAGCGATAGTGTGTGTGTGTGTGTGTGTGTGTGTGTGTGTGTGTGTGTGCAGGCACACACACTTGTGAGATTTTGACAAAGAATGCAACATTGTTTCATGATGTTGTTGCTGCTACTACTCCCTTGCTCTCCTTGGAGCAGATTAGCTCAGAGATAAAAGTGTCTTTGTGCTAAAAACTTAAGGCCTGATCAGATTAGTGACACTTTGATGCCAGTCCTTGGGCAAGATGCTGGCGGTCACCATGCAAGAAGCCAAAGCAAGGCTTTCCTGTTTGCCAGAAGAAACACACTCCAGGATTGATGTCTTCATTCTGAATACCTTGGCTCTAACCACAGAACACTGTAACAGATTTATCTACTAGCATCTGTACTACTCTAATGAATTCACTCCAAGATTCCTCTGAATTATGAAAATACTATAATTAGAGTTGCTTCTCTTCCAAGGACCTAATTAATTACTTTTTAAAGGAAGCAAATGAGTATAAGAGAGCTATTTGATTTGTAATTTTATCACTCACCTGCTTCAAGGGGGCACTTGGTGCTAGAGATGAGAAAGAAAAAGGAAAACAAATGTTCATGGAAGAATTATTGGTTACTCTCTGTGTGTCTGAGCCTTTTGTTCTGGAACCAAGGGTGTTTATTCTGGAATTTTCTCAGCTCTATTCAGATTATGTTGGGGGGAAGGGAGCATATGGAATATAAAATTATATGTAAATGCACTTTCTCTAGTCAGGTATATTGTAATTAACATTTTATGGCAAGTACAAATGTAAGGCAGGGACTGGCATTCTGGTCTGGTAGATTAAGCCACTGCCTGTGTTGCTCCTGTGAATGCCAACTCAAGTGCCAACTGCTCTGCTTCCAATCCAGTTCGCTGCCAATGCACCTGGGAAAGCATCAGAGGATGAATGAAATGCTTGTTCCCATGTGGGAATCCTGGGTGGAGTTCCTTACTCCCGGCTTTGGCTTGACTCAGCTTCAGCTAATTGTGGCCTTTTAGGGAGTGAATCTCTAGATGGAAGATCTCTTTGATTCTTCCCTCTCCGTCACTCTGCTTTTCAAATAAATGAGTCTTCTAAAAAATACATAATCTAGGCAATAATAAGTAGTTAGCAAATAAGCATTTATTACTATTGGAAATGTACTCTGTTTTGTAAAGTAATTTGGAGAATGGAAGATTCTAGAACATTGACCATTTTCCATCATCCTTGTCCACATTTTCATCATTCACATATATATACATATATCTTGTCTGTGACAGAAATAGGGCCAGGTCCTGCTTTGATTTTGAATATCACCTTGGAGAGTAAGGATAGGAGAAGCCTTGTGAATTTTCTGTGCCCTTGTACTGATTATATCATGAAGAGGGGAATCAAGCATTTTAAAACTAGAATGAAGGGCAGTGTGCCTTCCATGTGAGCTGCACCATTCCATGCCATCCTCTCATGTAACCTTCTGTTTCTCAAACAGTTGTACACTATGGCCTGGGTTGTGAGCATAATAGCGTGTTCTCTAAAGGGCTCTAGGGTGATGTTGCTGCCGGTCCAGGGACCAGTTTTCGAATAGCAAAGATCTTCCCAGTGTTATTCATGGAGGTCCGTTACGGCTACGCTTTGAAGGCCCTTACCACATATTTGATGAATGACTCCTCTGGCCATTGTCTTCATTTGTTTCCTAAGGAAAGTGACTTTTGGTGAAGTGAGCTACTTGCACAGGTCACTTGAAGTCAGGGGAGGCAGCGGCAGTGCAAGCACTTGAGCTGTGTCCTCACTTGATATGAGCAGAGCCTTAGCTCTGTGTCTTTTTAGGCTTGGGCCACTATCTTCCTTGGAGTCTCTGTTCTTCCTGGGGCTGAGGGTGGGGGGACGGTGGTCATAGTCAGTGCTGTCATGCTGCTCTGGTGAAGCTGAAGCAGGTGGACCCCCATGAACACAGTGTGAATTGTAGGGCACCACGTCCATGGTATAGGGTACCACTGCCGGGCCGACAATAGCATCTGTCTGCACTGCTGCCTGCCAGCGTTCCCAGTGCCCTAGGGGACCGGGGCATGCCAGCTCACCAACCACAAAAGGCATCAACTAAAATGCACTTTATCTTTCTTGTGTTTTCTCCTTCATAGCCATCGAAACCCAGAGCACCAGCTCTGAGGAACTGGTCCCGAGCCCCCCGTCTCCGCTTCCTCCCCCTCGCGTGTATAAGCCCTGCTTCGTCTGCCAGGACAAATCATCAGGTTACCACTATGGGGTCAGCGCCTGTGAGGGGTGTAAGGTGAGTACCAGTGCCTGAGTACCTCCGTGAGCTGTGTGTGTGTGTGTGTGTGTGTGTGTGCACGCACACACTCTTGCATGCACCTGCTGTGAGGTCAACCCCTCATTCTTGTTTACAGGGGGACTATTTTGTTTTGACTTTTGTGATGTCACCTCCCAGCAGTGGTTGGTGGCTTTGGTTGTCTTGGATGATGGTTTCTCTTGCTTCATTAAGACTACCTAAAGTGGAAAACTCAAACTTGCACCCATGAAGTTGGGCCATCAGAATCTTGCCACGCTCAATGCTGTTGAGATGAGAAGACTCAGAAAGGAGCCCTGAAAAGTGTCATCCTACTCATTACTCTGCTTTGCCATAGGGTGTCTTTGTGATTTTATTTTATATTTTTAAATCTGACAGTACCCTGAATCAACTTGCAGGGAACCCAAGGTTGAAATTGGGATTTATCTCCTGCCTGTTTGTTCAGCCTGTGGCCTTTGGATTACAGTGTGATTTTCAGCCTGCAAGGACTTGCTACTGTATGCAGGTCATAAATTTAGGGGAGTTGGACTGAAAATGCCTGCCCTGAGAGCTCTGGAGGCTGAACATGTGTCACTGAGTAAATGGCTGCCCTGAATCAAGAGAGACAATTGTTATCAAGTCCAGCAGGCTTAATTGAGTGTAAGAGCTTCTGAGGTTTTTCAACGGAGAAAAGAGACAAAGAATGACTTCATAGGCAGATTTTCAACTCATCCATAAAAAATTTCTCAAAGGAACTATGGCTGTCTTGAGCTCAGACTGCCCTAGATACACAGCTTCTTGAAGTTCTCTCTGGCTGGTTGGCTCGGTGCTGTTGTTTGTAATCTAAACTGCCTGATTCACTTGTGATTGCTAACAGGAGGCAGCGGCCTTGCAAGGGCTGCAGGGTATTTCGCATTGGTTTATTGTAAGTGCTCTTCACTGTATTGGGGGGCAGCATCGGGAGAGAGGGGCTTCAGGAAGTTCATGGAAACGTATTTGATATGTATCCAGAAAAAAAACCCCATGATTTCCATTTTATTTTGCACCAAAATAAACTTTCAAAAAGATTGGTTTACTTTTTTTTGAAAGGCAGAGGGACAGAGAGAAGGGGAGAGAGATCTTCCATCTGCTGCTTCACTCTCCACGTGGCTACAAGAGCCGGGGCTGACCCAGGTCAAGTGTAAGAGCTAAGAACTCCATCCACATCTCCCATGTGGGTGGCAGGGGTCCAAGTCCTTGGGCCTTATGTGCCTGGTGCATTTGCAGAACAGCCAAAAACTAGAGCTGGCACTGCAATATGGAATGCAGGCATTGCAAGTGGCAGCTACTATGCCGTGGTGCCCACCCCAATGCCATGCCTCTCTAGTTGGCTTCTGATTCAGTGTGTCAGCCTGAATCATCTGGTCCTAGCCATGCTCCCATTATCTCTCAGCCACTCTAGGGTAGCCCCTTGACTCAGCTGCTCTGGATAGCAGGGCGTTGTTTGCCAGGAGCCTCAGGCCTCCACGTGGGGTCTCCTGCCCGCCACATTTGCCCTGGCTTATTCAAAGAGACAGGACTCCAGAAAAGAACAGAAGCCCACAAGATCTAGTCTGGGAAGCAGCCCACTGTCCCTTGGACCATGCTCTGTTGTCCATGTCAGGCCCTAAGCTGAATCTGGACTTGGCCACAGAGAACCTAACTTAGCACCTTTGTGGGAGGAGCTTCAAAATCCTCAGGACATGGGAGTCCTGGTTAAATTCAGTCCTCATTTCTGATGGCCCGTGCACACCAAGTGGGCAGGGATTGTAGCTTTTCTGCAAAGCGCCTTTGTGTAGTCTAGCGTATCAGTGGGTGCTAACACATCACTCAGTGCTCCCAGGGATGATGTGGGCTCTCACTTGTTTTCAAAGCATTTCAGTAAATGTATATGTTGTTTTTCCAGGTCAAGTCCTGCTTAGGAATGTGTCTGTGATTTTGGGACTGTGTTGGTTATTTTCAGGGAATACCCTTTTTTCCAGAAGTTTCTAAGAAGTTGGTCAAAAAGGGTGATGAGCAGCCAGTTGACAGCTAGTTAAAAGTGAAACACTTGTGCATGAAATTACTGCTTTATTATTGGTAACCCTTAGTTGAACCTCATTAAATAGATCCTGAAATTTGAGAAGGCTTCATCAGAAAGCCAGTTCATGTAGTCCATTTGATGTGCAATATGTAAATATGTCATTTTCTAATACTCCTTGGAAATCATGAAATGAGACTTTCATTTCTAAAGAGAACTTTCAGTCATCTCTTCTGTAGAAATCTGGACATGTTATCACTCAGCATACCAGTTTCTGCCTCGTCCTGGCCAGAGAAGTTTCCTGGTATGTCTGCTCTCCTGGCTGATACTAGGACGTACGCGTTAAGCTGTTGTCCAGTCTGGACAGTGCAAGCTGTTTTAATCAGCCTGTACTCAACTCATTCTCTGACCTGTTGCTTTAACTTGGGATTCTGACTCTTTTGAGGAAAAAACCCCAACAAAAACAAAACCTGTATTATCATAAACAACCTTGAGAAACTCAGTTAAATGGGCCGGAGACTTGGGGCAACCCATCTTTTTAACAGAGCCAGTAAAACCAAGCAAGGTCAAATGAGGTCACCAACCATTCATGGAATTTGGTCATTTTTAGATTGCGTGCAGACTGGTGAGCACATGGACTGCCCTGGCCCCCACTTGTTGAAAGATTCCATCTGCATTTTGGCTTGCAAGAAAAGTGCAATGATAATGTGATCCACAGAGCTGAAAAATATGAGAAGATTAAAGGCAATAGCCAAAGTTAAAAAAAATACAACTTTTAAAAAACTGAATTTTGTCATGTAAAAGTTACTGGTACAGTGGAGATTTTATTGAATAAACAGTAAACACTGTGAGGATTCTATTCTGGGAGAGAACTCCTGTTAATATTTAGTTTTTCTGTGGGTTAAGTGGCCAGTATTTTTTTTTTCTTTTCTTTTGCTTCCTGCAGAGGATTTCATGTTGCAAGCTGGTTTTAATCTGTTTTCTAAGTTTAATCACCTTTCATGACCAAAGTTTAACATCTGGATAGCTTTTATGGTTATCTAATGAATGAAGTGGTTTATGGCTTTATCATAATTTATTTAATTACTCCCGTTGTTATGTAATTAGAATGTTTCCGGTGTTTCTGTGTTTGAAGTAGTGCCTTCGTACGCAGTCTCTAGGTGTTCCTCAGATAATTTTCTTAGTGTAGCAGAACTTCCAGGTCAATAGCTTTGTATATCTTTCAGGCTTTTGATACAAATCACTAAAATGCCCCCTAGAAAAGGTGTCGCAATTTATGCTCTGTTACTGCGTGAGAAGTTAATCCTTTTGCAGACTACTTATTAGGAATCTCTCTCTTGTGATATAATTAGATAATGAATCAAGAAGCAGTTTCTCTTCTGGAATTCTGCCTACATTTAATTGGATATTTACAATGAGCCCCATGCATGACACCGTGTCGGACTTCTTACAGGTGCATTGTGGCTCCTGGGTTGACCTACACAAGCTAATCTATCTTTTGGCTGGACACACAAGGTCATTGCTGTAGGCTGGGAGACTCCCACACAGAACCCAGTCTCTGTCTGCAAAAGCAAAGCTGCTCATTCATCGGGTACAGTTGCTAACTATCATTCAGTGGAAGAGAGGTTGGTGCGTTCCCAGTGCCAGGTGCTGGCCCAGCCTCTGCTGTAGCCCTGGAATGGTTAGAATTTCACAACTGTGTCGAGGTCCATGTCCAGGAGTGGTCAGTGGCTGCTGTTCTGACTCATGTCACCATGGCAACCATACCACGGAACCTGCCTTTGGGACATCCACTGCAGGGGATTTCCAGCTAAGTGATGACTGCTTTTGTTTTGTTTTGTTTTGTTTTGCAGGCTATAAAGAATAGTTAAAATGAACATGTGGTGTGGTGTGGTGAGCCAGGCAGGTTTAGCAATATAAAATAATAAAGCAACAGTAAAATAGGAATATAAAATAGGAAGCAGTCTCATTGTTCACAGGTAAATTTTATGTACAATATTAGAATAAATCATGTTATACATTTCCAGGTTTTTTTTAAAGATACATTTGAAAGGTTGAGTGACTGAGGCAGAGAAAAATGAAAGGAAAGGAATCTTACATCTGCTGGTTCTCTCCCTAAACCTGCAGGAGACAGGCTGAAACCAGGAACCAGCAACTCCATTCAGATCACCCAAGTGGGTGCAGGGAGTCAAGTACTTGAGCCATCTGCTGCCTGCTGTCTACACCAGTGGGAGCTACTCAGAGCAGAGTAACCAAGACTGTGTCCCAGGGACAGGGACATGGGTTGTGGATATCCTGTGCCACAGTTTAACCCACTGTACCACAGCACCCACCCATGATCCATTTTGTAGCTCTGATGGAATGATGAATTTCAGCTAAACTGCTTGCCAGTGTAGCAGACGAGTGGTTTCAATGTGGTTTGCAGGTGCCCCTTCCAACGCCCAGGGCCATTTTGGGAAAAGTGTGTAACCAGTGTGCCAATGCTGGAAGCAGATGTGGAACCATTGGGAGATGAAATCTCTTGAAGTGTTGCAGGTCATTGTGATCACTGCCATTGGAGGGATTAGGGTGTTTCTGGGACCCTCACCTCTGGCTTCCTGCCTGGTGGTAGGATCGCTCCTTCATGGTATTCCTACCATGATGTCATCCGTTGTATTGTGATACCGACTCTTGGCCTTTTGTGCGAGCTGGGACTATATTCTTGAACCTCAGAACTGTGATTAAAATGAGCCACTATATATGAAACAAAGGGAATAGTAACTGGTGCATTGTACATGACGTATGTGTTTGGTTGTTGTTTATGTTGCCTTTGAGTTACTATGACTTTGTACCTAATGATACAACATCAGTTATAATCTTAGTATGCTTCCTGCAATGTTCATTCTGCAGTTCTCCATTCCCTTACACCAATGTATACACTGTCTCCTTCCTTCAAGGCTCACATTAAGGTGTGGGCATTTGCCTT